TGCAGGAAGTGTAGCAGGCATTCCAGAAGCATGCATTAGTCTTCAGTAAAGGTATGTAATGCTGATTTAATTTTTAAAAAAAATATTTTTTGGTGAATATTTTTATCTGGAATGGATTAATTGTAATTACATTAATTCTTATAGGAAATATTATTTTGGTTTTCGGCCATTTCGGTTTTCGGCCAAGCTTCTGGAACGGATTACGGCCGATAACCAAGGGTCCACTGTAAGTGGACAACTAGACTTGCTCAACTTTTTTGATGCACCAGTCATTTCCCACCAAGGCGGTGGCCTGAAATTGAATAAACACTTTCACCACCACTCAAACTATCACTGTCTTGCCACAGGGGCACTGATACTACAGTTCAGTACTGCAAATATTCCTGCCCTTCCTTCAGTGCAAGCATTGTACTTCCTGCCTCCAGGACTCAAGTCTAGCTAACCAGTTTCCCTGAATCCTTTCATAATTGTTACCTTCCTCACACCAACAGCACATCAAGTTATAAAAACTACTTGCCTCCACTCCTATGTAATATGCTCACACAAACTCCTGCTGTATAGTGTATTCAAGCCCCTCGCATACAAAACATTCTCTGCTGCCTCCCTGCACCCTTTTCCAGGGCTACCCCTACTCTGCCTTCCCTCCACTACAGATTTATACACTCCAAGTCATCGTATTTTTCTCCATCTTCTCTAAGTGTCCAAACTGCCTCAGCAGTCCTGTCCCCTTTAGCTCTCTGGATAATCTTTTAGTAACCCCAATGTATCCTTCTAATCTCCAAACTATGAATTCTCTTTGTAATATTCATATCACACATTGTTGGTACTACTATACTCATGCACTGGGGCATCTCCACAGATTCCTCAGTGCATCACCCACCTTCCCCTCATCAGTTCTGTGGTTCACCTTATCTTTCGTAGACCCATCTGCCAACAACTCCACTCCCAGATATCTGAACGCATTCACTTCCTCCATACTCCCTTCTTCCAATCTGATATCCAGTGTTCCATTACCTAAGCTTTTTGTTACTCTAATCACCTTTCAGTTCTGATATTCACTATTAATTTCCTTTTTTAATGTATCCTTCCAATCATCCACCAGCCTTTGCAACTTCTTTGTAGAATCTCCCACAAGCACAGTGTCATCAGCAAAAAGCAACTGTAACACAGTTTAACATATCTACAGATATGTTAAAAAACCATGGTAACATTATAAAGCCCTCTCTAAGGCCTATTTTTACTGGAAAATAACTCTCTCTCTCTCTCTCTCTCTCTCTCTCTCTCTCTCTCTCTCTCTCTCTCTCTCTCTCTCCTCTCTCTCTCACTCTCACTCTCTCTCCTCTCACTCCTCTCTCTCTCCTCTCTCTCTCTCTCTCTCTCTCTCTCTCTCTCTCTCTCTCTCTCTCTCTCTCTCTCTCTCTCTCTCTCTCTCTCTCTCTCTCTCTCTCTCTCTCTCTCTTTTCTTTTTTCGTTTTTCTTTTTTCTTTTTCTTTTCTTTTCTTTTCTTTTTACACAGGGTTTGGCAAAGTTAGGTTAAGGATCCCTAGCTTTATTGACAAGCTATTTACAGGTTAAGTATTCCTGACTTTATTGACAAACTAAGAGCTGTTACCTACATCAGCTTATTTTAAAGCATTTTGATTGTTATGAGACATACAAGTAGGGAACAGGATGAAGTTGGAGCCATCTGTGGGCCAGCATTTTCATTTGATCAACTGACTTTATCTCATTGACATCATAATGCTGTACGAATGTGTTCTATCCTCGAGTCATCCTGGAGATAAATGATCTCAGATGAAATGATGTTCTGGAGAAGGGTATAGCCAGAGTGAAGTTTCTGCTTTCTGCCCTTCTTTCTTTCTCTCTCTCTCTCTTTCTCTCTTCTCTCTTTCTCTCTCTCTCTCTCTCTCTTTCTCTCTCTCTCTTTCTCTCTCTTTCTCTCTCTCTCTCTCTTCTCTCTCTCTCTCTCTTCTCTCTCTCCTCTCTCTCTCTCTTCTCTCTCTCATCTTTTCTCTCTTTTCTACTCACTCTTCCTCTTGTCTCTTTCTCTCCTCCACTATCATTAGTCTTTCTCTAATTCTTTCTACCTTCATCTCAGATCATACTCTTCTGCAGCTTTCTCACTCTCTCTCTGCTCTGATACGTAATACATGAAATGTAATATAACCGTATCAAAAACAGTACACTCAGATCACAACATAATAGAGGTACAGACATGTATGCATAGGGCTCCGGACCAGCAAAATGTGAGCAGTAATGAAGGTCTTTTCATGAAATTCAATTTCAATAACAAAAACATACAGTAGGATCAAGTAAATCATATCCTAAATGAAACAAGCTGGGAAGATATCCTAAACAACACGGATCCGAACATTTGCCATGAAAAAATGAGTTCTGTGGTTCTTGAAATCTGCTCAAGACAAATTCCATTAAGAAGAAGAAAGAGAAGATGTAAACTAGAAAGAGAGAGATGTTTTCTTAACAGACGAAGGCAAAGAGTCACAGAGCTGCTGAGTGGGGCCAATATATCTGAAATACAAAGGAAGGCACTAGTCAATGAAATTGCAAATATTGAACTTAAGCTGAAGGAATCTTACAGGAGAAAAGAATCACAGGAAGAACTAAAAGCCATAAAGGAAATTAAAAAAAAATACATGTACTTCTTCTCTTATATAAAAATATATATAAAAAAAAAACTCTTCTCTTATGCCAAATCTAAGGGAAAAACAACATTCAGTATTGGGCCTCTGCTTAGGTGGGATGGGACATACACAGATGACAGCCAAGAAATGAGTGAGATGCTAAAGTCCCAATATGACTCACTGTTCAGCGAGCCACTGCCCAGACTAAGGGTCGACAATCCAAATGAATTCCTCATGAACGAAACCCAAAATTTGATCATCTCAAAAATCTCAAATATTATTCTAACTCCACAAGACTTCGAAGAGGCAATTAATGATATGCCCATGCACTCTGCCCCAGGCCCAGACTCGTGGAACTCTGTGTTCATCAAGAATTGCAAGAAGCCCCTATCACATGCCTTCAGCACTTTATGGAGAGGAAGCATGGACACAGGGGTCATCTCACACATACTAAAAACAACAGACATAGCCCCACTCCACAAAGGTGGCAGTAAAGCAATTACAAAGAACTACAGACAGATAGCACTAACATCCCATATAAAAATCTTTGAGAGGGTTCTTAGAAGCAAGATAGCCAACCACCTAGATACCTTTCAGTTCAACAACCCAGGGCAACACGGGTTTAGAGCAGGTCGCTCCTGCCTGTCCCAGCTACTGGACCACTATGACAAGGTCCTGGATGCTGTAGAGGATAAACAAAATACAGATGTAGTATACACAGACTTTGCAAATGCTTTTCGACAAGTGTGACTATGGTGTAATAGCACACAAAATGCGTGATAAAGGAATAATGGGAAAAGTTGGTAGATGGATCTACAACTTCCTGACAAATAGAACGCAAAGAGTAATAGTAAACAGAGTAAAGTCCCAGGCAGCCACTGTAAAAAGCTCTGTTCTACAAGGCACGGTACTCGCTCCCATTCTATTCCTCATCCTCATTTCTGACATAGAGATGTAAGCCATAGCTCCATGTCTTCCTTTGCAGATGACACACAGATTACCATGGCAGTGACCTCCATTGAAGACACTGTGAGACTCCAAGCGGACATCAACCAAATCTTCAAATGGGCCACTTAAAACAATATGAAGTTCAACGAGGAAACGAAGAAATTAAAAATGTGTCAGGGTATTCAACAAATTCTAACCATACAATAGAGCGGAAAAGTAATGTGAAGGACCTGGGAGTGATAATGTCAGAGGATCTCACCTTCAAAGACCACAACAATGTATCTACTTCATCCACTAGGATGGATAATGAGAACCTTCTAAATGAGGAACGCCAAGCCCAGGATGATTCTCTTCAAATCACTTGTGCTCTCTAGGCTAGAATACTGCTGTACACTAATGGCCTCCTTCAAGGCTGGCAACATTGCAGACCTGGAGAGTGTACAAAGAACTTTCATGGCACACACATAAGTACGATAAGGCACCTAAACTATTGGGAACAGTTGAAGGTCCTTGACCTGTATTCCCTCGAACGCAGGCGAGAGAGATACATGATAATATACACTTGGAAGGTCCTGGAGGGATTGGTACCAAACCTGCACACGAAAATCACTCCCTATGAAAGCAAAAGACTCAGCAGGAGATGCAACATTCCCCCGATGAAAAGCAGGGGCGCCACGATTACACAGAGACAACACAATAAGTGTCCGGGGCCCAAGACTGTTCAATTGCCTCCCAGCATACATAAGGAGGATTATCAATAGACGCCTGGCTGTCTTCAAGAAGGCACTGGACAGGCACCTAAAGTCAGTACCTGACCAACAGGGCTGTGGCTTGTACATCAGCTTGAGTGCAACCAGCAGTAACAGCCTGGTTGATCAGACCCTGATCCACCATGAGACCTGGTCTCAGACCAGGCCGGGGGCATCTCCAGGCAAACTCCAGATAAACCTGAGCTTCAGTATCCTCATAATAACTCTTTGGCTACCCTATCTATTCTCCAAAGTATTTTATGTTTTGATCATGTTCCTTCTTGTTCTTCCTCCAGTAAGATAAGGCCTGGTTTTTGCATTCTTTCGTCATAGCTTATTCCCACAGAAGTAGTCTGTGTTCAGAAATCTGCTCCCTTTTCTTATTAAAATGCATATTGAGAATATATATGAAAGAAACAAAAATGTATCTGCTAACTAAATTCTAACAAATTTTCCTTTCAAATTATAGCACTGCTCAGTAGTCAGTAATTTCAAAAGAAATTTCAATTATGTGCAAATATAGTATTTCACCAAAATGTATAACTGAAGCCAATCAAATGCATGTATGCACAATTACACACATTAAAAAATTCACGTGGTTTCTTAATGGGAGATTCATGAATACATGGATTTATTCACTTTTTTTTTTTTTTTTTAACTTACCAAATATTTATCAGGGAACACTGGGCCAAGCCTGCTGTTAGTCGCTGCTGCTGTGATTTGCCTTGCAGGATTACTTGTGCCCACCGAGGGTGATCGCACTCCATCAATAATTCCATCCTACATGCATCTAAATCCCAACATCAAAATTGTCGTTGCATATGTCCTGGGTAATATCTTGGTCATTTTTGTAGTTTGTTTCTTGGGTATTGTTACTGTGTAATATATGGCATATAAGTAAACGTATATTGATTTCCTTTACATACGTTGTTCATGATTATACATTTGCTTCATACTGCACTACAAGAGAGACCATTAACAATATACAGTACCTTATTTATCGTCTTTTTTTTTTTTACAGGACTTCTTACATATGCTATTTTAAGAACTGGTTAAACTGGCACAAATTAAACAAGAAGATAAGATTCTAGCTAGTTTGTGGTGACTGTACAATGATGCCATACTTGATGCCTTTGAATAAGAGTCTTAAGATAAAAATTACTAAATAGGCCTATGTGATAGTTATCTTGGTATAATGTAATTTGTTTCAATATTATGTTGAAAAACTAGCTTCTTAGCATTGTTAAATATGTATTGAGATGAGATAAGATCTAAAGATGTAAACGACAAGCAGATTTTGTGTTCTTCAGGTATTGTAATATGAGGGATTATGGAAGCTCTGTTTTTTACTCTTACATTATTGTGTATAAATAAGAATGCTTATTTTGCTCAGATTTTATACAAGTGTTCGGTATAATGTGCAGAATTTTTTTACAAGTTTATGTTGCTGTTATTACCTCACCATACTTTGTTTTACAATAGGTGATACTGTACTCAGTTTTGTATTAGATGACATAATAATGTATGCAATAGGATTTAGGAGTATATAAACAGAAAAGTAAATGGAGAAAAGTGTTTGTATCCCAAAAGATTCCAATGTTGAGTTACTGTCTTCCATTTCTCCCATGAGACATTATCTCAACACTGAAGATACTCACTTTTATAGCAACACTCAACACGAAGAGAATTTCCTGGCAAACACAGCCTACCAACTTTAACACTATCAGTGTATAAGGTATTTAAAAATGATTTTAAAGACAGTTACTGACTTTCTTGAGTACATAGTTAAGCATTCATCTTTCACTATGCTTATAACTGAATATGCAAATTTCAGAAGTAATATTATGCAAATAATGGAACTGACTTTTTCAGTATGTAGACTAATGCTAAACAAAGTCAGTCTGCTGTCTGTAAGATTTATTAATGATTAAATTAGAAAATATTGTAAAAATATAAAATGAAAATATATATATGTAATAATTCTTTTATTAATTTTTTATGGCATGCAGTTAGTGTTAATAAAAATGCACAATATTTATATATATATAACAATTTTTGTTTTGGTGTGCCCTGATTTAATTAATATACATTTTGCCATTACTGGAAATCACAAAACTAATAATCATATAGATGTTTTTACTTTTCATGTAGAGCAGCAGTTTTCAACATATATTTATTGAATGAACTTTTATATCATCAAAAATTTAAGGCTTACATATGTCTATCTTGAGCATCAATAAGTTTACAAAGCACTAAGCTGCTTGCTACAACTATTACCTTGCTCTTGGAGTCTTCACAGGATGCCACAGCACTCTACATCCTGGAAACTATTCATTTAAAGGTATGACATCCTGTAGAAATCCTTGCCACATTTTAAGGCAAGGCCATATGTTGACCTTCCTTGCCACATTTTTCAACCACTGTCAAACTTCCAATGGCACTCCTCATGAGAGGCTTCTAGATGCTAGTGAAGGGCTTTTAATCCAAGGCTATAGACCTATCTTAGATTGAATCTAAATACCTCTCATGTCTCCCCCCCTTCCATTTTTTTCTGTTAACATGCCTGATGTCTCCCACTAAGGGAGACAAGGAGAGGTGCACAGCCTTGACTATTCTAGTGACCTTATAACAACATCCCACTGTATCATAAGATACTAAGATATGTGACTATTACTTCAATCTACAACTTTTCTTATGTTGTAAATAAGTTCATGCACACATGCAAATACAGTATAAGAAATTATTTGTACTACAGTATATCCTATGATTCATGGCACATATTTCCTCTCAGACTACCATTTCTAGTTAAAGTAAGCTCAGTGTCAAGACAGAATGCAACTTACCTGTTCTTAATGGCTAGTGATTATCAGGGAGATAATGAATCCTAGGGCTCTTGATCTGAGAAAACTGGAGCTTTCCTTCTTTCCTCAGATCAGACCTGATTATCTCATGTTCCCCAGACACTGTATGACTCACTGCTGCTTGTACTGCTTCCCCGTGATCATAATAATAATAAATCATATCCTGTTATATTCCTCTTCTGCACTCATGCTGCCTTCCTTCTACTACTTTCAACTTTCCTTGAAATAATGACTGCCTACCAGTCACTAAGCCTTAGTTTTTCATTCTTCCTTCAGGGGGATATACCTTGATGTTGGTGAACCTCTTGCTCCAAGGAATTTGAGCTGTCATACCTTTCCTTGGATCAAGCCCCATTATCTACCATTTCTCAGGTGCTTATAATCCCTATGGGTTTAGAGCTTCCACGTAACTATAATAATAATCTTTATTCTTGTATACAGCAAAGCCTCGATTTGTATGAATTTGAATGCAGTCAAACCTTGATTGTTGATTGCAGTACTTGTCCAGTAAATCTGTTTTCAAATGAAGCGTTTGAGAAAAAAAATGTCCTGGTTTTCATACATTCCCATGATCATTGACAGACAAGTTTTCGCGTGTACGAAATAGGAATGTGTACTGGACAATGGGTCGAGAGTGTGGGTATTAGTCAGTATAGACTCTAACTCGCGTGCCGTAACCATCTCTTGAGCTTTTGTTGTGCATCTTGTGAACTTGTTTTATTTTGCAGTTTTTGTGCATTTTTTTTTATTGTGAGATAAGCCATCGTGGGTACAAAGAAGGATAAAGAGATGAAAGCAAAAATATAAGTTGTAAAAAGCAAAATTGAGTTTAAAAGAGAAGTCATTAGAAAGTATGCAGAAGATCGGCTCGGCATGGTTGATATAGCAAAACTTTTTGGTAACTCAACATCTACCATTAGCACAATATTGGGCCAAAGGGAAAAAATTAAAGCAGCTGAACTTGCAAAAGACAAGAAAGTGATATTTGAGCATACATACAGAGGTACAAAAAATACAGGTAAGAACAGCATGCCAAAGCCACTTGTATGCATAGCATTACGGGCTGGCTTAAAATTAACTTAAGATTAACTAAGCAATGATGTAATCAGTGATAAAACATTATTGTAAACAGATAACAATTAAGCACAAATGAGTATTACAAAGACAGGTCATATGGTTGCATGCATTGCTGTACATTCAGTCGAATGGAGTATTCTGTTAGGTAGTGTATTTAAAAAATAACAAAGTTAGATTGGGTCTTAGGTTTAACATTCATGTGATATAATTGTGAGAAACATTTAAGATATACAATTTATAAGGTTCAGTTATTCAGTATTTATTTGGTTTTGGGTGAGTAAGTGATCTTTGAGAAGAGACTTGAATTTATAAACGGTAGTGTTTCTTTTATATTTACAGGTAATGAATTCCAGTTTTTAGGGCCTTTTATGTGCATTGAGTTTTTGCATAGTGTGAGATGGACACGAGGAACATCAAAGAGTGATCTGTGCCTTGTGTTATGGTCATGTGTTCTGTTGAGGTTGGCAAGGAGATGTTTGAGGGGAGGGTTAATATCAGAGTTAAGTGTTCTATGTATGTAATAGGTGCAGTAATAAGTATGGATGTTTTGTATGGTGAGTAGGTTTAGTGTTTTGAATATTGGTGGAGTGTGCTGCCTGAAGTGGGAATTTGTTATCATTCTGACTGCAGCCTTTTGTTGGGTAATTAGTGGTCTGAGATGGTTAATTGTTGAGCCCCATGCACAAATTCCATAGGTGAGATAGGGGTAAATAAGTGAGTGATATAGGGCCAGGAGGGCTGACTGTGGAACATAGTACCGTATCTTTGATAGTATGCCTACGGTCTTGGAAATTTTCTTAGAAATTTGTTGTATATGTGTATGAAATTTGAGTCTATTATCGAGGTGGATTCCTAAGAATTTTCCCTCTGTTAGCTTTGTGATAGGTGATCTGTTTCTCATTATGTTAAGAGGGACATCTGTAGCTCTGTAACCAAACTGAATGAAGTAGGTTTTGTCAATGTTTAGTGTAAGTTTGTTAGTCCTCATGCAGGTAGATATTTTCTGTAATTCGGTATTTACAGTATTGGCTAGCGTGACTGGGCTCGGGTGAGAGAAGACGTATGTAGTGTCATCTGCAAATAGTGTGGGTTTGAGTAATTGCGATGCATTTGGTAGGTCATTTATGTATAGGAGAAAGAGAAGAGGGCCAAGGACACAAAGCAAAGGCCACAAATTACTGAGGAGGCTGAAAAACTCTTATTGATTTGGATAAACAAAAAATAGTTACAGGGTGATAATGTTTCAGAGGCCATTATTTGTCGAAAAAACGAGGCAGTTGCATGATGACCTAAAAAAAAAAAAAAAAAAAAAGAACAAGTGCTGAAACTTGATCCTTCAAGGCTAGTAGGAGTTGGTTTGATAATTTTAAGAAAAAAGTGGCATTCATAGTGTGGCTAGGTATGGGGAGGCTGCCAGTGCTGACAAAGTGTCTGTTAAAAGGTATATTACTGAATTCCAGAAGTACGTAGAGGCTGAAGGGTTTGTCCCCCAGAAAGTGTTTAATTGTGACGAGACAGGCATCTTCTGGAAGAAAATGCCCAAGAGGACCTACATAACTGAAGAGGAAAAGTCATTGCCAGGACACAAGCCAATGAAAGACAGGCTCACTCTGTTATTGTGTGGTAATGTAGATTTTGAAGACTTTGAAGATGAGCCTGAGCCAGTATAGGATATTGTGTCCCTGGGGAAGATCTAGGGCCTAGAGGTGACTGAGGATGATGTGGAGGAGTTGGTGGAGGAGCATAAAACTGAACTCGCCACAGAAGGACTTCTAGACCTTCAGAATGAGCAGCAACAGATTGCAGTGGAGGAGCTGTCATCAGAGGAAGGGATGATATGCCCATTGCACTTGTCAAGGAAATGTGTGCTAAATACCATGAAGTGCAGGAGTTTGCTGAAAAATATCATTCAGACAAAGCAGTGGCCATCCGTCTCTAACATGTACAGTGACAGTGTAGTGTCTCAGTTTAGACAAGTGTTAAAACAGCCTGAAACAAACCTCACTAGACAGGTTTTTAGTGTGACAAAGGACCAGTGAGCCAGAACAAGGTGTTAGTGGTGAAAAGAGACAAAGAAGAGAAACAGCACTAGCTCTCCTCTGACGGATAAGGGGCAGTTAAATTTTCATTTACCATGCAGTATTTCAGTTAAATTTTCATTTAGTATTCATGTTTACAGTTTCCCCTGTGCTGTATAATTTTATACATTGTTTTATGTAGTAGTTAGTAAATTATTAATATATGTATTGTTATTTGGGCTCTGGAATGGATTAATTCTATTTACAGGTACCATCCGACTTAGGACTAAGCTTGGTTCCAACCAACCAGTCGTAAGTCAAAATGGACATAAGTCGAACCTTACTACTGAATATCAACATCACACTTTTGAAATTATTTTATTTTGTTTTTTATTTTGGCATTTCATTTTTTACTTTACTTTTTATGCTGTTAATACATACTGTATTTTATACTGTAAGGTTTAGGATAAACACTGTGTACAGCACAAACAGTTGTTTATTTCCCAGTAATTTGGCATAAAAAACATGGTCGTAAGTCGAGTGGTTGTATGTTGAGCAGGTCGTAAGTTGGATGGTAGGTGTACATTATTCTTTATGGGAAAAATTGCTCTGGTTGTCGTCGATTTTGGTTGTCGAATTGACATATGGAACAAATTAAATTTTAAAACTGAGGTTCCATTGTAGTACAAAACTCTGTGCAGTATGAATTATAAAATGATACCAGACCTTATTTAATACAAGTCAAAATTCAATTAGTACGAGTTTGCTCCCCACCCAGCTTGCTCCTCTGCCCAGTCATCAGTATGGCTCTGCCTATTGTGTGAAAATGTGCAGCAGCAGCCACTGCCATCGCCTCTTTTTCTTTTTCTTCTTTCAGCAAACTGGCCGTATCCCACCAAACCTTGGTGGCCTAAAAAGAAAAACAAAAGTTTCTCTTTTTTCTTTGTGTATACAGAAGAAGGCATTACTAGCCCCTTGTTCCTGGCATGTTAGTCACCTCTTACGTCACGCATGGCTTATGGAGGAAGAATTCTGTTCTACTACATATTCAGATTCTGATAAACCACCCTTAGCATTTATCAACAAATGGAAGAGT